TTACTTTGGTATAATTGTGATGAGTATGGTGTACAGCTTATGAAAACCCCAAATTCACAATGTATATATACAGGTTTCACCTGTATATATCCACCCTTCCTGAGAATGTAACTAAATAATAATTGGTTGGGTTATGGATATATGAATATATTTTTCTTATTGAATCTGAAACAGCTACTATCCATAGCTCACATCAAAATGTTCAATTTAAAATGTTATCTTTCCCTTCATCAAGGGAAAGCAAACTCTGCAGTGTTTAAAAGAATGAACAGTTGTTTTGAGTCATACCCTAAGATGCCATAATCTACCACTTATAATATGCCTGAGTATTGGCTCTTTACAAACTGGATGTAGTCAAATATTACATATAAACAACTATGGTGTTAATCAGGGTACCAAAAAGTAATCCCCAGTTTAAGAATGAGTTCTGTTCTCAAGGTCTGTCCTTAAGTCAAATTTGTATGTAAGCTGTAACAGTATTATATAAGGATGGCATGTCCTTGAAATTTCTCCTCAAAGAATCACCAGTACAAATTGTTCTGACATTACACCGAGTAACTCTCTTTGAGCCTAATAATTGCAAGTGTCTATCATTAGGACATCACTTCCATGTAAGAGACTGATGAACTCTTTCCCCCAACATTCTTCCCCCCATGCATATAGAGAAGATCTACTGTATCCCAGTATAGTATCTGAATCTGCAACCAGAACAGCAAAGTATGGATAATTATAAAGTACCTCCCATAACAGCAACTAGCCATTTATACAGGAAAGCAAGGATGTTACTAGAGTGATCACAGTCCTAATACTTCCAACTGGTCAAGGGCTTAGGGCTTTAAATTACATTGCAAATTGCATCTATCTTCCCACAGAGCAATTACTCCTCTAATACAGCCATTCAGAGTATAATTTCTTCATGGGAGACAACTGATGGAATTCTGCACACTAGCTTCGTGTAGATTTTGGAAAATCAAGTTTGTTTAACTAATATATATAGTAATAAAAGCATTGTACTTACCGATTTACAACTTCCATTGAATGTAGAGACATGTCCATGTTAACTAATACTGAAAAGTACTCAGTTATCTGACTTGACTGCATTAATTTAAGCAGCATTTCTATAGCTACTAAAGGGTTGTTTTCCACCAAATCAGGCAACTTGGCAGGAGTAAGGCCAATATGATAAACAAGCTTAGGATCTTTCTCCAATTCTCCAAGGAGCTGCATTTTAAAAATGAAAAGCATTTTAAGTATTAACAATTAAAAGAGATTACGACAATCCTTCAACTTAAGTTATTTTAACTAAATTACTAGAAAAATCACAGTAATTATTGACAGCAGAATGACAAAAATGGTCCTTTAGTTACGGTAAGGTGTGCAAAAATGAGGGGGATTACCAGTAAAAGTTTTAAATTCTATAGCTAGTAAAAGTTATTTCTGTTGAGCTAATAATTTAAACTAAGCATTTGTGCTCTATTTGATAAAATTAACACAAGGGCCAAACATTAAACCAATACAAAAATCTGTAAGTACAATAGATTAAATAGAGTCCCTCAGGGCTCTATTCTGTCCCAACATGAAGCCACTACAAGTCATATGGAGCTTTAGAGATTTGTGCCATAAATATACTGAATTTAAACTCTGTCAAAGTGAAATTAAATAAAAATAAAATGGAACTGCTTTTAATCAATAAAAATTGAATTTATTGATTAGATTTTAGTCTCCTCTGGATGGTAGTGCTCACCATAGCCAGGCAGTACTCCTGGATTTCCGGTTTGTAGCTATGGCAAGAAGCTCCCTGAAAAGTTTAGGAAACTGCAGTTGCTTCACAAAGTGGCTGCTAGACTAGGAACTAGTAAGATAGTGCTGATGTGGAATCATGATCCCAACTAAATGTTAATTTCTTTCTTGGTACATTTAATGTTGACATTAAGCTATAAAATAGTATAGCCTGGTTAGCCTCTCCAATTATAAACCTGTCTGGACATTAAGAACTGCAGAAGAAGCTGTTCTTGAATTTGCCCGTGTTCAGTGACCGATCTGTAGGATATGAGGGAAACAGCCTTCTCTGCAATTGTTCCCTGGTTACAGTATGCCCCTTTTGAAGCTGGGTTTGGTTACTTCTTTCTTGTGCCTTTACAAAGATTCATTTTTATCCAAATCTTTAAAACCAGTCTTTAATTATGCTTTAATTAAAAATTAGTGAACACTGAAAAGTGTTTTGAGTTCTCAGGTTCAACAGCAAGGCAGCATATAAGTCGAGTCAATAAAATAAGCTGAATTCTACTTCTCCATTAAAGCCTAAAGCGGCAACTAATGAAAAGATTACAGGGGAATGTTCATTTTTATTTTTTGACATGATTACTGAACTGTTACTCTTATATCAAAATTTTTGGGTTTTACTAAACCTTAGGTTTAGATTTAGTCTTCAATCAAGAGAATATTTTAATAATAAAATTAAACTAGTCAGCAATTGACTACTATACATACCTGTGTTTGTTGCTGTGATGACAAAGGACTTTTGAATGCTTTGGCCATGATTCGTTTGATTTCCACTCCAGCACTATTTTTAACACACATTGACTTATCCCACTGAATTGTATGATCTGGTTCTATTGGATTTAACCAAGCTAGCTCATCCTCACAAATATGAAGTGGAGGTGGGGGGCGGATAAATTCTGGTCGAAAATGACCTGGAAAAATATATTAATTTTTTTTTAATTATCCCTTTAAAAATCAAAATATTTACCCTACAATCAAAATGTTCCCAAGTATATAATCTATGCTTCTATGTGTTATATAGTATATAATACATTGTATTATTCTTTATAATTTATTATACAGTATATAACATAGTGTATTATCTATTCTATAAACTGTGATCATCTGGAGCATCTAGACCAGCTTACTTCTATGTTCATCTCTCTTAGCACCTGCTGACCCTAGTTTTATAAACGTGCATATTTGTTACAGAGATATCCTTTATAAAACTTCAGTGCCAATACAAGATAGTAATAAATTGTCACCATGCCATTCTGGCCAACAGAAATATGTTCTGGAAAAACAAAGCATAAGGAGCAAATTTAAAGCCATTCATAAAACCAACTGTATGGATCTAAATAAAATATATCAATATAAGCAGTAGAATATAGTGCAGGTTTATGCAAAGTCAATATAGTACTTACCTGACACACTGCTCCATATTCATCCTTAAAAGTCATAATGGTAAACATTCAACCTTCTTTTCCTTACCCTCTTCTTTTCAAACTGAAGGACTGCATTCATATGAACAACACTAACTATAAACACCAATTTCAATTTCAAATATAACCATGAACAGAAATAAGAAATGGAAAATAAAATGACTACTTAATTCTTATGTTGTAACTAGATGAAAGGATACCCAAAAGCAATGCATACTTTCAATAGGTGGCTTTGGTCCACTCACTAGGGCTTCAGTGATCTGGGATGCAACAGAGCTGTCAAAACCAGAATTTGAAGAATCTGGATCAGGATCACTGAGAATGCTAGGGAAGCTAGCTTTACTTTGTGTTGGCAGCTCAGACTGACGTTCTGGAAGGAAAATTAGATTAATTCAATTTCATTGCCCAAAATCATGAATCACAAGAGGAAGAATAAACTTGTTGACAAATCCACATTACTTATAATATATTATATCATTATAAATATGATGAATAAATAAAAAAATGTCTGGTAGTGAGAAAGTGAGATTAGCTTTAAAAATCAGGCATTAAATCATTCCTTCTTTAGAGCTTTTATTTCTACTGCCCTCTTATTGTTTCTACCTCTTAAGAACTGAAAGCCCAGTAGTTTCCATTAAGCAACAATGTTATTCTTAGCCTTCATCCAGCATTCTTCATGGCTGAAAAGGAAACATTTTGCCTCCATACATTACACCTATAAAACTGCACTGCCATACCAAATCATTCTACTATAGTTTCCAAACTCTAAATTTGGCACCTGAAAATCAGTCAGTCCCAGAGTCAGTTTCTGAATATCAGCTAAATGGTAACCAATTTGCTGATATCTAGATATAGAAAACAAAATTTATATTTTTTTAGTGTCTGGAGACAGAGAGACTTATATGCCACTAGTGTTTACAACAAAATTATCTTTACTTTAAAAGGTGCAAACCTAATTATAAAGGAAGATAAAATGCAAATATAGAATTTGCGTAGTGTCCAAATACAGTTGTGTAATTCTTAGGAAAGGTTTTGATTGTGTCAGTTTCATCCTAACATTCAATATATTATTTTGAAGTGTTTTGCATTAATCCCATGGAATTCACTTCTAAATATTGAACTAAGATCACTCTTCCCCAAGATACAGCTACCATTGTTACTTTTTTAAACCTCAAAAGAAAGAGAAAGAAAAAATTCAGCTGACACTCTATAATATATATGGTAAATAACAACTGCTTATAGGATGGTTCATCAAAACTGACTTACTACTATCATGAGTGAACTACATAGTACTGATATGAATAGCATGATTGGAAACTACTGAAGCAACTATCCATGCCTTTCTCACACTTCTTGAAAAGATTTGAAAAAATAAGCCCATATGTTACTTACACTATATTTTCTTTAGGTGAAAAGCAAAGGTAGCCATGTTAGCCTTCAGAAAAAAAACAACATCAGGGCAATATCTTTATTAGGTCAACTCAAGGCCACAAAACAGTATGCAAATTTTCAAGTTCTCTAGAGCTCTTTGAGAGCAAGAAGGTAGACAGAACAAATAAAGGGGGAAAAAAGCCTGATGTTCAAATGATCTGGTCCCTTAAAATATCTAACTGGTAATCTAAGAATCTGATTAAAAAATAACGTTGTTTATAGTTTCATTCATCTTTGTAACACAACAAATATTATTATGAGAACAGATTCTAATCTCAGCATGACCAGAGTATTAATTTATATGATTTTTCAAGTTAGCTTGCTGCAAGGAAGAGTTTGAAAGCTTCAAGTTTATAGCGAGAAGTGCTTGCAGCTCACTCTGGTTAACACATCTTTTAATCTGATGATACAACCTCAGCACCAAGTCAGTTATAACTCTCATTCTTCTCTAAGCATGGAAAATGAAGTGAATCTCTCCTTTACTTTGTACTACTGAAGTATTTCTATAGTCAACAATATTAGCATAAAATTCCATACATAAATTGAGTTGGGGAGGAACAAGGTTGTAAGGAATATGAATTTGTGGGACTCTTGCTTTTAAAAAAAAACTCTACATATATACACTGCTATGAGCCACATAAAAAAGCAATGTTTTAAAGTGCTGTCATGGCTCTTATAGAAGCATGCTACACTTCAGAGTATTTGTCACTTCAACAATAGATGTTAATAAAGCAAAGGCTTAGGAGAACTTTGACTGGATTTGCAGTTCTCACTATGCACAAATGACATATTACGTATAATCTCAATATTTATATAAAAGGACACTTCTAAAAAGGAAAAATATAATTCAAAAAAGAAAATTTACTGCTCAAAAAGGAATCACATGTATTGTACAGTACTTCTCCCACAGTTTTCTCCCAGTTATCAATTCCAGGAAGTCTTTGGTTTGAAAGGAAAAGTTGTTGGATAATTCTTATTTTATGTATAGGGCACTGATGTTCAAATAATGACAAAACAATAATGAAGTAACACAGTGACACAACAGCAAATTGGAAAGCATCATTGTTTTACCTTCTAATATGCCAAAAATAATTCCCCAAAACTATATATGATTCATTAACATTGCAGAAACCCATATGATTAACTTCAGGAAAAACTAAAAATGTGCTATGGAGTTATGAGAGAAAAAAATTCACATGCAAGCTTAATCAAATTTTATATTTCATTCTTTAATACAGATGTCTGTAGAAATTATTTCATTACCTGCTAATGCCAACTGAAGACCGCTTATATCTACAGATTGGCCCATGTTTCCTACATCCATTGATACAATCTGTCTTGGAGTCTTTTTGAAGAGTTCTCTAGGAGGGGCCAACATCAGCTGGGAAAGAAAGAACCTTTCTGGTGGGGTAATTGGAGGCAAAAAACCTGAAAAAAAAAGAAAAGAAATTATTTTATAGTTCCAGCATTTTACAAAGAAGTTATAGTGTTTCTATTGTTGTGAGCTAGATCCAGAGCGGTGTGGGGTAAATTCAGTGAAATTAATACTCTTGCAGGTGAAAGCAGGGGAAGGGGATTCTCACCATCCAACCATCCCTCCTATGGTCCAAGCTGCCCCAAATCCATTTAGGAAAACGTGGGAGTTGGGAGGACTGTCAGTGCTAAAAGTGGTGTTCTGACTGAGGAAATTGTGAAAATACATTTCCTCCTTCTGTCTGCCAGACCACCAAATTCACAGAGTAGAAGCTTCCATTAGTAAAATACTGGGTTAGCTTTTCACAAGTGACATATTTTTTGTGTGCAAAATTATATAACAAAATGAAATGAAGTTTCTGTTTAGCTGTAAATTAAGCTAAGAGAACCAGAAAGGATAGAGAGAAATAATGGATAGTAAAGTGTAAATAAGGCAAGAAAAAGCCCACCACCATAATTTCCCAACCTGAAGGAAATGCAGCTCACATGATATATACAATGCATATATGATTGACTATTTTCACATGCTCCACACTGTAAAGTTTTCATGATATCAAGAAGCACAAAAAAACTACCTGTAGCTTCATTTATTGCCACAATTCACTGACAAGATCCTACCCTTAGACTGGCAGCTTGTCATTTATCTAAACAATTTGATACCAACACTTTCTGGTCAACAAATGTATAGAAATGACAGAGGAAACATTAACTCCAGCATGAGACCTAGTTTCTAAAACTCAGCTGAAAGTCATGGTTCAAACTGTCAGTTCAACAAACAGTTTAGATATACTGATGTTGCTGTACAAATACTTCCGTTAACAAAAAGCATGCTGATGACCACAGAATACTTGCTATCAATCAATGGTCTACTTTCATTTTCTGTGGACATTTTTACCTGTTTGTTGGGAATTGAGATATTTGAGAAGAATTTATGAAGGATTACAGGAGACACCGTTACTGCAATTTCATTTAAAATCATGTCACATATCAAGAGGCAAGATGGATGTTGAACCTCTGACAATTGAGGAATTATTCCTCCAATCTGTACTGGTTGAGTTGAATGAACTAGGGCTGCTCCATCGGTTCAAAAGAAAAAGAGGTGGAGACCCGAAGTTGCAAAATGCTCAGACATTACAACCCAGCCCTTAAAGAATTCGTGTTGCCTCCTTCCCCTTTCTCAACAAGTTTCATCTTTTTAACTACCATCGGAGGTCCCGTCCTTTTACTGAACTGGCAGGAGGCGCTGACCCCAATGGCTGTTCGCCCTGGCCCAACCAGAGCCCAGGTGAGGGAGCTACCTGAGAGCGGCGGCCTTTCGTTGTCGTCGCCGCCGCCGCCCCCAGCCGGGCCGGGCCCCGAGCCTGCGGGGGCGCGCTCGGGGGGCGCCGGGTTGAGGAGGTGGGCGAAGATGGCGGCGAAGGGGTTGGCGGCGAGCGGCTCGGTGCGATACATCTCCCAGAGCAGGTAGAGGGCGGTCAGACGCTGCGGCGGCGTGGGCAGGAGATCCGGCTGCTGCAGCAGCAGCACCAGGACGGAGCCTACGCGGAAATGCTCGGCCTTCCCAAAGTAGTGATGGAAGGCGGTGGAGAGGCCCTCAAAGGTGCCGCCTCCAGCCTCCTCAGACACGATGCTCAGCAGGCTCGTCAGCTCCTTCGGAGAAAGGCTCATCTTTCCCGGCAGCGACGCGATGGTTTCGCTGCCGCCGCCGCCGCCGCCGCGTCGTCTCGCTGCTCGTTGTCGTACTAACTAACCGGTACCG